GCACAGCATGGCTGCTGACAGACGAGTGGTGTGGTTCCAAACCTGGGAACCGAACCTGGGCCGCTAAAGTGGAGCATTGAACTTTAGGCCATGGGGCTGGCTCCTCTACTTTCTCTTTTCTCAGAAGTTATTAATTTAATAAAAATATTCAAAAAACTGTAAAAGTGTTATTTTGAAATGGTTTCACTATCTTTTTTCTTTTTTAACCCAGAGTCATTTCTTTCTGCTTTTGTAACCATTTTCATTTCCCGAGAGGGTCTGATTTCTTCACATAACCTTCTAATTTTTGCCTCAACTCACACCTCACTACTGAAATAGATTTACAATTTCCTCTACCCACAGGAGTGGACTTTATCATCACCTTGAATTGAATTACTTGGGTACTTTGTCCCATTTAGGCTAGGAGAAGAGGTCTAATCACCTGAGACTGAACTCTGTTCTAAGATGCAGGTTTTCATTATTCCAGGCCTCTGACCATAACACAACCAAAAAATGTGAATTAAACAGAATACAATTTCAGGAAACATCAGAAAGAACATGTCTGTGAAGTTCTGTGTACTGATCTTGTACTGAATGTTTGGTCTCTGGAGCAGGTGGATTTAATTATTGCTCCCTGAGGACAATCACGCTGGCTCCCCAGCAGTCCACTCCTCTCCCGTGTGAGACTGAGCAGCGCCAGGCCAGAGCAGCGTACCAGACCAAGAGCCTACAGATCCTGCGGTTTGTACTGCAGGTGAGGAACCTCATATAGGAGTGTCTGTGGCCATGTAGGACAGACGCACAGAACCCCTCCTTTCTTCCGGAGAAAGGAAGGGAAATTTTATCTCCTAATGTAAACAAATTCTCCTTGGGAAGGATCCTGGGTTCCTACCCTTTGGAATGTAGATACATGTTGTTAGAGGGGAAGACAAGACTTGAATCTCCAGATTTACAACCCAGAGGTCTCCAGGGTCCCAGGTCTCACCCTCCCTTGAGATGTGGGTACTGGAGAAGTAAACATCTCTGCCATGGACTGAACTGTATCCCACCAAAATTCACAGGTTGAAGCCCTAACCTCCGACATGACTGCATTTGGAGATGGACCTTCATGGAGGTGATGACATATAAGTGAAGTCCTAAGGGTGGGCCCTAATCCAACAGGACTCACATCCCTCTAGGAGGATGAGACATCAGGGACCTGCATGCACAGAGGAGAGGTCATGTGCAGACACAGCAAGAAGGTGGAAGTTTCCCAACCGAGGAGAAAGCCTCAGGAGAAACCAAACCTGCCACCACCGTGATCTTGGACTTCCAGCCTCCAGAACTGTGAGGAATAAATGCTGTTTAAGTCACCCAGTCTGCAGTATTTTGTTACAGCAGCCGTAGCAAACTAATACACTCTGGATGGGTTCCCACTATATTCAGTCAATTTAAGTCTGAAGGCTTCTCTTTCAGCACAGGTCCCAAGTTTCAGTAAAATTTTCTCAGAAAACTTGTGGAGAAACAAAATATTTTCTCTATAGTCCCAAACTGTCCTTTAATTTAAAGAAATTCTTCAAAATTGTTACTGAAGAAGCCAATATCCAAATACAAATGTTTCAAAAATAAGAGGTTTTGCAGTCAAGTTTCCCAGTGAAATTCTTGATGACTCCAGACTATCCCTACATTATCTCCTCTTGAAGAACACAGTGATGGGCCTCTGACTGGTCTCCTTTCACCCAGGCTACCAACAGAAGATAGTAACACAACCAACAATTCAGGCTGGCTTCAATAAAAAGGAAAAAAGGGTTTGGTGGTAAGTGTACATAACTTGAAATTACTGTATTTGCTTTTAATTATATAATGCCAATCTAGTATAATGTTAACATGAATGACTTGAAGGTAAATTTGGCTATTACTTAAAAATGAAAACAAGAATACTTCATTAACGTTTTATTTTTTAGAGATTGTTTGTAAAGCAATCATTTTGAGGATTTAAGTAATCCTTTATATAAAAATCTGAAGAATGTATTTCAAATATACTCCAAATATTTAAACACTGCATAAATATCAAGCTTTAATGTACATCTTTTAATAAACTAACCAAATAAACATTTCACATTACTAAAAGACTTAAATAATGATAAACTATCAATCTTCCAAAAATGATAATAGAAATGGTTTTGTGCTGTGCATTTTTAATTCACAACTGTACATGGTGCAACAATTTCATAAAGACCTCAATGATCACAGATTTCAGCATTGAGTATTTTTTTTAAATTTTAGACATTCTTGCAAAGGCAAAATCTGAGGACAACAATAGATATACACTCACTGATATAACTTGACAGTGGTAATCTATCAATTTATCAAATACGCCAAACTTTTTAAAACATCAAAATTTTGTCCCAATTTTGTGTTTTCCTACATTTTATAGATGCATGTGATAAAAAAAATTCAATTTCATTAACTATTAGGCTATAAAAAGTAAACTTTTCCCAACATTTAAGGTAGTTTTGATGAAAATAAGAGGCCTTAATATTTATATTTTATAATAGTGACATTAATTGTAACTGACTAAGGTACTAAATTTTAGAGACTTATGATAATTTCCCCAGAATTATACTAGTACCTTGTTCATTTCAGTTATGCTATTTAATCATTCTTCACACAAAATTGTTACAAAATTACATCTATATTGACAATAGAAAACATGTAGCAACCTTCTCAACACTTCAAGACTTCATCTAAACTATGAAATTAATATGGCTAATATTTTAATATGATCTTGTAAGTTATAAACTTGGCAAAATTTTTTAAAGAGGAACTATGATTAATCATAAAATTTTCATTCTGCTACATAAAACTATCTTTTCCTATAAAATGTGTGCCCCCTCCACGATAAAAAAAAAAAGACGTCCTTAACAGCAATCCTTATAATCCAATAGTCAACAAAAGTTTCTGTTTGCTCAAGGCAGAGGGCATGAGTCCCGTCTGTGAGCCACTCTGCCTGACACAGGGCCTGCCTCTACCAAAGCAACGTTCGGGGAGGGAGACGGCGCTCTCCACGCCCACTGTGCCTTACTAACAACTCAGAAAGGAAGACTCCTACAGCAGTTTTGACAGAGAGGAAACAGAAAGGCCCTCAGGCTGAAACTAAACAGCGATTACGTTAAAATCTGGCACTGTCCGATCCAGCAGAGACTAAGCTGAAGTGGAAAAGAACCAAGTCTATAATCGGTCCTTTAAATCTTCTAAGAGAAAATCAAATAACTATGCCTCACTATCTACCAAAGACACTGGTTAAAGAGTCTTGTAGTTACAATACACCTCATCACCTTCCCTTCTGTGACTAAAATGGCGATTAAGTATATCAATCCTAGTTATAATGGAATTTTTTTAAGTTTATTTTCTGTTTCCAATGCTAAGGTAAAACACATTTTGGAAATCTGCATGGAATGTTCCCAACGTGTTGGCTCTTTATTTTTAGCGGGGTCTGTGTTATATACTTTTACTCATTCTGAATACGAAAACAAATCTGGTCTTCTGTTTTATTAAATAATGATCACAACCCTTTAATATAAAACCATGTCTACTGTTTTGGGTTTCTGTTAACAAGGCAAAATAGAAGTTATTCACAGAAAAAAGGATTAAATGACTAAATTATGTCTTTTGTAGGATATAATCCACCCTTATGTCTCTCTTCTACCAGTTAATGTCTCATCTGCTCTAATCCCTTCAAGGTTCAAGTGCAATGCTACAAATGCAGAGACTGTCCAGTTTTCATCATAGATTTTTCTTTTAACATTGTTTTCAGGATGCTTTAAATAATTAGTTTCACAACTGTTATTTCAAGTGCATTACAATTCACAGTACAGCCCACATTTGATAAGGCCATGGCTTTCACACTTTTTTGGATCACAGTCCATTTAAGATTTTATTTTATTTTTTTGAGGAAGATTAGCCCTGCGCTAACATCTGCCGCCAATCCTCCTCTTTTTGCTGAGGAAGACTGGCCCTGCTCTGTGCCCATCTTCCTCTACTTTATATGTGGGACACCTGCCACAGCATGGCTTGACAAGCAGTGTATAGGATCCGAACCAGCGAACGCTGGGCCACTGAAGCGGAGCATGTGAACTTAACCACTGCACCAATGGGCTGGCCCCCATTTAAGATTTTAACAAGAGCTCTTGCCATAAAAACAAAAAGTTAACATATCCAGAGTTTTGCAAGCAATTCAGGGGTGTCAAGGCCTCACTGACATCGTTTTAGAATAAAAATGCTTACAATGAAGGGATGAAATCAAACAGTAGTTTAGATTTCAAAGGTTTAATATAAAAAATAGAGAAATCTATTTTAGAGCTTGAACACATTTTTTATGATTGATCAAGCAAAATTAAAATATTTACAAAGGAGGGAGTTTTTAGTCTTAGTCTTACCTAATCTTATAAGAACTTTTCAAACTTAAATGAGATGTATGCAGGCTGCAACCAATGTACACAGGGAGATACTGACATAAAGAGATGTATGTTCACATCTGGTATTAGCCAGTATGTACATAATACCTTAACTGGAGGAGCGAATGCTTATACTGGAGGGTAGAGTTTATCAGGATCTATCAGTAAAGAAAACACACACAAAAATAGGTAGTGTTTTCTGATACTACTGATGTACAAGGAACAGACTCTCAGATTCAGGCAGACGGTCTGTAAGGAGCCATGAGTGGTCAGTAGACACTCTGTGGCTGCACGTAGTAGTAACATGTCCTTTTTGGCATGCATTACAACCATGTGCCCAAATAACCAAATGACCACAATTCAAACAACTGCTCATTTCTAGAACAAACGCAGCTAGGAGCTTTCATCTTATAGTTAAAGGCTTAAAATATGTCTTAAAAGTTCAAGTCATTAAAGATTTACAGACTTCAAACTATATTTGAAAGTATGTATAATTTGTATTATGAATGGGGAAGAAATAAAAGGTAATTATGGCAATGTGAGCTTCTTAATCCAAAAATTAAAAGTCAAAATACATTTCACATGTAAGAATTAAGTGGGTTTTTTTTTTATTCAAGCAACATTTTCATTATAACACAAGATAATAGACAACCTTTGTGGCACAGTACTGCAGTCTGTGGCTGAGTGTGGCTGCCTCCTCTCGGATGACTCTTGAGGGCATTCTTCAGGATCTGACACCGACGCCCACAGAGGCCTTCCAAGGGCAGTGCGTGAGTGCTAGAGACCACCACGTCGTCTTCCTTCAGACGCTGTGCCATTTCCTCCCACCCATTTTATCCTCCATAACTTATAAAAACCCCACTCTACAATTCAACCTATGTTATAAAATTAACAAAATCAGGAGTTAGTACATATTTGCCCACAAAGACAAAATTACTAAGTAAGACTCAACTTAATCTCTCTTTTTCTCTAACTTTTGAAGGAATTCTATAATCTCTAAAGAGTCAGAGTAATACACAACACAAAATATGCAAAGAACCTTACTACCAGGTATACATTACATGTTGGAAGCTGCTAAAGAACTCAAAAGCTTAATTCTCCTGGGACAGCAATTCTCCACTGGAAACTATAGTTTATAAACAGAAGGTTGTGTTTTAATAAGTGGAAATACAGTACCTGATTTGGTATAAAGTAATTGTGAGATCTTTCTCACTAGTAAAGTGCTTAATTAAGAAACATTCTTCCACCACATGATTTAATTTGTCAAAGGCACAAAATGTCTTTGTTTCTCTCTTTAAAGCATTAGTTTCTACAATTACGGTATTACTCATGTAAATTTTAATTAATCGAAAAGCTTTACTGTTTTTTTCTCAGTAATTAAAAAAACACTACTTGAAGAAAAACGTTTTTTATTTTCAAAACTTTGCCATGAACATACATACCACACTAAATTTGATCCCTCATGAGCTGTCTGTGTGCCACAAAGCACTTATGACAAAAACATACGTAAGCTTTAAGGTAACAAGGAATCAAAATATCTTCCAAAAGAAAGGAGGCAGGGGAATCAATAAATTAAAAATCACAGCTTTCATTTTATAAAAAATAGTCTGAATAATCTTCTTATAAATCTTTAATGCTTACAAAAGCAGGAAATACATTTAAAATAGTCTTTTTAACAGATTCATTAGTACAATGTGGTTATGGTCAGAAAAATAACTAAACTGGCATTTCAGTAGCCTACATAGAATTTCACCAATTTGCAATTCAAAATAAGATTTAATGGCCAACAAGGGCAGACTCCTTGTAGCTCATACCTGAACATCAAGCTCTATTCCATTTAATGTATTTTACCAAAATTTCAAATACAGCTCAACGTAGGTACTGATAACAATACTTGACTGCATGGTTACCCCCCATGATGACTGCAGTGCAGCTTAAAACATACTTTGGTCAGCAAATTAAAAACACATAAATCAAATAACAAGGCCAGAAGAGTTGTTTTAGGACCAATTTCCTGACCTTAAGTAAACTTTAAATATATCAACAAGGCAAGGAAAAGTATAATCAAATACACAGAGAGGTCTCTATTTTTTAACCATTTGGCATTTTATATTGATAATTTCCTTGTTTAAAATAATATTTTATACTCCTGTGCACTGACTCTTACAGCTCTCTGAATTAACCCAGAGTATGGTTACCTTTGTAGAATGTCCAGCAGTGAATGCACTAATTGCTCCTTTTGCACTTCCACGAAGATGGTCCTTCATCCTGTAGCTTTTTAAATTTTGGACCAAGAAAGAACCACCAACCAAATCCAATAAAAACACAAATAATGGACTCCACATAATAACCATCCAATGCTGTAACACACGAGCCACCAAGTTTTTTGCAAAGCTGTAAAAGTAAAATAATAATTATTCCACAATTTCAAAATGGAAGTATTCGGCAACTTATATGTTTTTACTTTGTAATTTAAAGGATTAGTCAAAATACTTTTGTTCAAACACTTTAAGGGGCTGACCCTGTGGTGGAGTGGTTCAGTCCACTGTGCTCTGCTTTGGTGGCCCAGGTTCATGGGTTCAGACCAACACCACAGGTCAAGCCATATTGTGGCATCGACCCGCATACAAAAAATAGAGGAAGATTGGCACAGAAGTTAGCTCAGAGAGACTCTTCCTCACCAAAAAAAGAGAAAAAAGAATCAACATTTCATCACTTCAAATGGCAAAACATCTTAATGTATCTGAATCTCTCTAATGCTACTAACAGGATGAAAAACCACTTTCAGCTCTTGCTGTACAAAATACTCATTTTCAAGATACAGCTTTTCATATTTGGAAATGTGAAGAAGTTTCCAATGAATCTACTCTAGAGATGGGCTAATGTTACTTTGAAATAATTTATCAACAAACTACCAACCATTTGGTTCTAGTTACAATTGTTATATGAATAGCTAATGGAATTTCTCTTTTTCTATCATTATAAAACTTAGCTGTTAATTATGCTTTTATTAAGTGCCTATGGTGTAGGACAGTGACCCTCAAGGTGGAGGAGAGATTGCTCCTCCTATGCTAAGAAACACCTTCAAGTGAGCTACTGTTTCTTTTTTTTACTTAAAAAAAAGATTTTGTTTATTTTTCCTTTTCTCCCCAAAGCCCCCCAGTACATGGTTTTGTATTTTTAGTTGTGGGTCCTTCTAGTTGTGGCATGGGGGACGTCGCCTTCAGCATGGCTTGATGAGCAGTGCCATGTCCGCGCCCAGGATTCAAACCGGCAAAACCCTGGGCTGCCAAAGCGGCACGCACAAACTTAACCACTTGGCCACGGAGCCGGCCCCCATGAGCCACTTTCTGATCTGAGTGTGTTACAACCCTCAGTTATGATAGGAAAGGAAAAGATATGTAGATTTCTACACTAGAAACTAAGGGCAGATGTGATTTTTAAAGAAAGATATAGTATTCTAGAGGTGAAACAAGAAAATTAATATCTTAATATTGTCTAAAATTACAATGCACTTACCTCAACAGCATCAGGTGTTCGACAGTTCTGATTGGATGCTCCTACACACTCCTTCACTGTGAGGGGATCTACCAGCCAGAGAACTACTGTAGAAGGCCAGTTTCCTCCCAGATTGGACACAGTATTTAAAAGGGTCATGTATGTTCCTCCAATAAGTGGATCACTAACTTTCGCATTGAAAGCCATTATGGAAACATACATGCTGTACAATGTAACCTATGGGGAAAACAGAAGCATCTTTAGTGTGACGAGACTTTGTAAAGCTGTAGTCTGAATTAAGGACACGGAAATCATAAACCTGAAAATAAATTTTCATGACCCTTTTTAAACTCAAGTCAACAAACATGTATTGATCACCCACTGTAGGCCAGATCATGGCAATACAAAGATAAGTAAGACACAGTCCCTCTGGCCCTTGAAGTATTTATTTCTTAGGCTTGGAAAATAGGGAATAAATAATTATGATGAAATGCAGTAAGTACTGTAAATAGAAGTATACACATCATGTTACTGGGGCCTAAATAAATGAGAGTTAATTCTACCCAAGAGGTCAAGGAAGGCTCAAGAGAGAAAATGACAGATGCAGTGGCATTGAGGGATGCATATAGCAATAAGCAAAACTCCATATTTGTATTATACTTAAATATACCATATACACATGTATGCAAATATTTATATGCATGTATTATACATGTAATAAATATTCAAAGGAACATGAATATATAATTACATTTATATATATAATTTTCTTCTACATATATAGAAGAAAAATAACATTTCAAAATTTATGTGACAAACTGAAGAGACAGTTCAGAGGCAAAAAGTGCTTAACAGGCAAGAATTAACCTTCCGTGGGCACATGGAAACAAGTCATATTTCCAAAATAGCACTCCTTTGAATACTGTTCCATTGATGGTCACAGAAAGAAGAGTTCCAACATTAAATAAGACTCAGAAACACTAAGCCACACAAAATTAAACAGGTCCCTCTCACTGCAGGCCTTCTGAAAGCCTCTATGATACAAACTCCTTAAGGGCAGGATTTGGGCATGATTTATCACTGTCATATTTTAGTACTTAGAATGGTTTCTAGTTTGGAATCGGTGTCCACTTAATGTTTGCTGAGGAAGTGATCAAGATGATGCATAAAAAAGGGTTATGTCATGTTTCATTTCTCCAATTTAGTTGGTCTTGTACCTTTTTTCACAAAGTATCTGGTGATGTGAGTTTCAATGACTACACTTTGGGAAATTCTCTAATGGAATCCAAAGCCAAACTCATGATTTTTGGACTACTCCATCATAGTTTTCCTTCACTTACACAGATGGTAAAGCATTTACTAAGCTAAAGCACTTCTTTTAACTTTATTTGGTGCCTAGCATTAACTAAGTATGTGCAAAACAGAAAAAATTATATTTGACACCTTAGCCTCAATAATTTTACAAACATACAGTTAGTCAGACATAATCCACTACGGAATTCTCCTAAGTGATATAATTGTACGCAAAAAATTATTGAGATTACCTGGTAGCCATATTGTTACATTTCAGTTAAAAACAAAGTGAGGAGTTGGTAAATCTAACTTTCAAAGAGTTTAAACTAGGTTCCATGGAAACATCCAAAGTGAAACACGTTAGCAACAACTGCAGCTGAGAACAACGGTTAGTGCGGGGCATCTGCCATCCACTCGAATCACACGCCCCAGAACAGCACTCCATTCTGCAACAGTGGCCTGGGCGAGGCTAGGGCAAAGTGGAGATCCACTTCTTTTAGGGATTACGAAGATATTTAATAAAGAAAGAAAAAGCAGATTAACACATATCTTCCAAAAGCACAAAGACAAGTCATAGCTTTCAATACAGAATCTAAACCAAAAACCTGGGACTTCTAACCCATCATTATTTCTCAATACTTTCAGAAAGAAAAAATATCAGGGATAGAAGAAAGAACCCAAATCTAGAGATCCACCAATGGATACTTAGCCAGAGTAGAGTTACTAGATTTGGAATAAATTCTAAAATGTAACAAATACTTGTTGAATGACCAAAACAACGAAATGAATGAAGAAGGAACTCTTCCCATAAACAGAACTCATGAAATCAAAAGCCACAAGGTTTAAAGTTCACCACCAAATAATTTCTTCAGTGTAAGACTAGTACTTCAATCTTAAAATTTATTATCATTATTTTAAGGCAACTGTGGAAAAGTTTCTTCTTTATTTTACATAGAATAGTTTCCTTCTTGAGAAAACCACAGCACGCTTACCTGATGTAATGCGTAACTCAGCAGCACTACAATGTAGTAATACGCAGGGAATCCCCCTTGATGTTCTACTTTAGGAGTCCACCAGACCAGCAGAGCATATTCTAATCCCAGCAACAATCTGCAGAAAAAGAAGGAAACATGAAATTGACTTCCATTTAGGTTAAAAAACAACAGCAAAAACAGAAATCTGTGTGCCTACTATCTGAAAGAAGCCTGTATCTAAAACCTGTTAGGAGGTTAAACAGAGATAGAAGTACATATAAATGACACTGAAATTAAAGATGCTTTTCAAGCCTTTTTCCGTATATACTCTACATACATTAGTGATACTGATGAACGTTCCTCATTTAACCTTTCTTATTTAGTAATGCTTTATTTTGTTTTTACCTGTAGGGCATGGCTTTGTAAAATATGTTTAGTGGCTGGGGACCTGCAGTGTATTTGCTGATAATCAGAGGCAATATTATCTGCAAAGGAACCATTGGAACTGCCAATAAGGCTAAATGTTCTTTGGGTACTCCCTCTTCTACCAATTTCAGTCCTGTTACTGCATCTGCTGCTGAAAAACCAATCTGCAATATAAAAACAAAAAAAATATTTTAATTTGTGACTTATGAAATATTTTCCTCAAGCACATGTAAGTTCTCAAGAACCTCAATCTCATCACTGACCCGTGCCAGTTATAAGTAAGTGTCACATTATCACATCTGGGGCAACCACTGAGTTCCAGAAGGCACACTCTGCCCTATCATCGACCGACAATATTCAGTGAACACAACTGAATTCAGCACTCTTAGGAACTGCAGACAGCTTTAATCACAACTAAACTTCCATTCCGAGAAGTTTAATCTGTTCTGATAAACAGTGTCCAAATCCAAAATTACTGATTTGTATGTTTTAAGTTTAAAAGAAAAGCCTTTGACTCCAAATAACTCTGGTTAAAATGAAGAATCACTGCCACATATACACATTTTTGATGATTTCAGACTGGTGATAATTTCAAAAGTAAATCTGAGAAAACACTGTATCTGAGAAGTTGAATGAAATGCGGGGAAGAAAGAGTACAGTTAGATCAGTACTTAAAAATAACAACAAAGGGTAAGGATACTCAAAGTAGTGGGTAAAAGTTTGAGGTGAAATAAAATACTTAGTCTCAAAGCGTCTCCCTATAAATTAGTTTTTAATTACAAAAGGAAAAATAGTAACTTGATAATGGGTGAACAAAGTAATCAAAGTTAACAATAACAGTTAATGGGCTATAAGGGGACATGATATGGCTCCTGACCTAATTCCCTGAAGGTGTCACCATTTCACTTCTGTGGTATTCCTGCCACATATGCATACCCTGAACCTAAACATACAGAAACATTGGACAAACACAAATGGAAGGCCAGCCATTCTACCAAACAATTGGCCAGTATTCTTTAAACACGTACAGGTCATGAAGGACAGAGAAAGGCTCATACCAACTAAATGCAATGTGTGATCCTGGATTGGATCCCTGGCCAGAAAAAAATAAAGTTATAAAAGTTGTACATTATAATTAAAGATAAATCACTCTCAAATATTTCAGAGGAAATGTGTAATAGAGCACAAATTTGCAGAATAAAGAAAGTGGAGATAATGTTAGCAATTAAAGAATTTGGATAAAGACATAAGGGAATTCATTCAACTACATAAGTCAGTTTTCAGTAACTGTGAAATTATATCAAGTTAAAAAGAATTTTTTTAAAAAGAAACGATAAATACTATATACTTTAACTTCTTGGAATGGAGCCAAAGAGCTCCAAATTTCACCGTAAGAAAAAAGTTAAAGGTCAAAGATATTTTACTTAAGTCCAGAAAAGAATTTCACTTATATTTCACCCATTCTCTTTGTAAAAATTAGATATACAAACTGACTTCAACATTTACTTAGTCTTAAAAGAGGGAAAATGGGGGGCTGGCCCTGTGGCTGAGTGGTTAAATTCGCACACTCCACTGCAGGCGGCCCAGTGTTTCGTTGGTTCGAATCCTGGGCGCGGACATGGCACTGCTCATCAAACCACGCTGAGGCAGCGTCCCACATGCCACAACTAGAAGGATCCACAACGAAGAATATACAACTATGTACTGGAGGGCTTTGGGGAGAAAAAGGGAAAAAAAAAAAAAGTGGGAAAATGGGAGATATTTATAATACACATATCTAACAAAAAACTCATATCCAGGATATATAAAAAATAAAAATCCTACAAATTTAAAGAAAAAGGCAACTCAGGACATTCAAATGGCCAATAACCATATGAAAAGGTACTCAACTTCTTTAGTCATCCAGGAAGTGCAAGTTATAACCATAATGAGATGCTACAACACACCCATTAGAAAGACTAAAATTGAAAAGACAAGATATGTGTTTTCGGGGCTGGCCTGATGGCACAGCGGTTAAGTTTGCATGTTCTACTTCTCGGCGACCTGGGGTTCACTGGTTTGGATCTCAGGTGCAGACATGGCTCCACTTGGCAAAAGCTATGCTGTGGTAGGCATCCCATGTATAAAGTAGAGGAAGACGGGCATGGATGTTAGCTCAGGGCCAGTCTTCCTCAGCAAAAAGAGGAGGATTATCAGTAGTTAGCTCAGAGCTAATCTTCCTCAAAAAAAGACATGTGTTTTCAAGGCTGTGAAACAACTGGAACTCTTTGACATTGCTAATGGTGGGGAAAACTGAAACATCACTTTGGAAAACTGCTTGGCAGTATATACTATGCATTTCTTATGACCCAGCAATTGTACTCCTAGGTATTTATCCATCAGAAATGTGCACCTATGTTCACCAAAAGTAATGTACATGAATGTTCACAGAAGCACTATTCATAATAGTCCCAGAGTAGAAATAACCTAAAAATCTGTTGAAAGAATGGATAAATAAATTGCAGCATATGCATACAATGGAATAATATAACCAATGCAATAAACAAACTATTGCTATAAATAACAATATGGATAAATTATACAAATATAATGTTGAGTGAAAAAATACAAGAGCCAGACATAAGAACATATACTGGGTATTCCATTTATATAAAACTCAAAAGGAAGGAAAACTAATCTATGGTATTAAAAGTTAGGAGAGACGTTTCTTTTGGTGAGGCTTGGTTTAAAAGGGGAGCACGGCATTCTAGACTCTGAAATTGAAGCACCTCTTTATACGTTGCTGTAGATAGCATAAATTATCATAATCTTTTAGAAAACAATTTAACAATTATATTCATTGATCCACTAAATGCCCATTTAATAATTTATTGGAAGGAAATATTCAGAGCATTCAAGAAAGATTCATGAACAAAAATATTCAATAGTGAATTTTTATAATTAAAAACCATAAGCAAATTAAACATACAACAGAAAATGATTGAGTAAATTATGGCACATCTATACACTGTGACAATTATACAGCTATTAAAAAATATATTTTCAACTATTATTCAATAATACAGGAATACGGAAAAATAAGACAAAAACAAGATAAAAAATTACATATGGTCTAATATAATTCTACTTTTAAAGTATTTGTGTTTATATAAATAATACATATTATTAACATTAATTTGCTGATAATTTATTGGTTATACTTACATATATAAAGTATATGCATGCACACATGCACGCATGCGCACACAAACATATATATAAAGGGGGCTGGAAGGAAATACACCAAAAATGTTACCAGTGGCTACCTCTAAAGGATGTAATTAGATATTATCTTCCTTGAACCTTTTAGCATTTCATAAACTTGAATCTTAAGTTCCTAAGTTTAAACCTTCCTCACGTTTTTTTTAAAGTTTGATCCTCTCTATCACTAGAGAGGAGGAAAATCTCACTACTGCAAAAATGAAGCTACGACTTTTACTTCAGGGTTGTCAAAAGACAGACGTAAAGTGTTTATATAGATAGGGTCAATATGTAATATGAAAATCTTGTAAATGATTTCAGATTTTAGGAATATTAATTCCAACACTAGCAACAGCTCACTATACCAGAATATACTTACCTTCCTTCTAGTATAATGTCTTTAAAATGTTTTAGAACTATAAAATTAGGACATCTTAATACAGAAAACATACAGAACAAAATAAATATCACCAAAATCTTTGTTTATTTCTGATATATTTCCTTCCAACATTTGAAAAAATAATTCAACTGATTTTTAAATAGACTTCTAACATTCACAAATTTTCATATTTTTGTAAATCACATTCTAAGTAAATAATTTTACTACCTCTGACATTAAATGAATACTTATTATAACAATAGAGAGCTATTATTTTTTCAAGGCATTCATTTCCATACCAAGCATTAATAGCATTCATTAAATAAAATTCAGATTTATTAGAAGTACTTCAAGTTGGCACAATTCTTTTCAAGACACCAAGACATTAAGCTAATTTTGAAATTATATCTGATATCATCACACCTTTAAAACACATTTAATAAACTGAAAATACTGGTTTTTATTGTTAAATTCTAATAGTAGTGGGAAGGGACTTATAATATGAAAAGGCAAGGAAAGTTTCCCCTGATATTGGTAATTATAACAGAACGCTAAATTTGCTTTATAAATCTCTTACCTTTGAAGTTAGAATTAGAAGGCAAAATGTCAGAACTGCTGGCATTTTTACAATTGCAAATAGTAGCTTGTAAGTATCTGAGATCCCCTGGGTTTCTTCTTTTTCAACAGATAATTCTTTGTTTTCTTTCTTCAGAAGAGCAACTAAAGTTGTTGTTATCAAAAATACAGTTCCCCAGAAAAAAAGGAAATCTGAAATTACAAATGATTAAATCTGTAACTTTTGAAATGACATATCTTCATTGATACTAAGTAATTCTGTATATAACTTTCACTCAAGTAAAATTTGTGAAAAGAAAAAAAATATTTTCTTGGTGGTGACATCAACAACATGGTGGAGTGAGCTGTTTCCTTTATCTCTCCCCCTTCGAAATATAACTAAATGGACATTCACTGATCAACGGAAGATACCCACGCAGCACAACAGGAGGCGAGAGAGACCCGTGCAGCTATACATCTGAAGGTGGATGGACTACCCCCGGGAGAAGGTGGAGATAGGTGAGCACTCTCTGGCCCCCTGGCAGCCCTGTGCAAACATGCAACTGCTCTCCTTGCTGGAGTGCCCCTAGCACCACTGTGGCCCCGAGGGTGGGAGAGTGCCTTGGCATGACTGTGGGAACAGGTGCCGGCAGCCCTGAGCCCCTGCATGGCCACTTTCCCACTTGGTGGGAGAGCACACAGTGCCGCCACAGTCCCAAGGAGTGGCTCAGGCTCAGATGCAGTGGGGAGGCATCCCCTACCAAGCACAATGGCCGGTGCTGCCTAGGAAGAGACGATGGTGGATCTGTGCACTCAGGTGAACAAGTTCCCAGCTGCTGAGAACACCCATAGTACTGCTGCAGCCTCAAAGGTAGGAGCATGGTTTGCCGGGACTGTGGGAGCAGGCAGCAGCAGCCCTGAGCCCCGCCCATGATCGCTTTCCCATTTGGTGGGAGAGCCCACAGGGCAGCTGTGGTCCCAAGGAGTGGCCCAGGTTCGGACAGGCACAGCTTCCAGTGACCACAGCAGGCTCAGAACACACAGCTCCTGCCCTCCTCCCTAGTGGCGGCAGGTGGAATCTGCGAGCAGATGCTATCACTATTCAAAGGCATAAATCAGTACCATTAAATAGTATGAAGAGGTATGTTAATAATCCAGACCCCAAGGAGAAAGAAAAACACCCAGAAATCAAACCTGAAGACACAGAAATTTACAATCTAAATGACAGAGAATTCAAAATAGCTATCATAAAAAAAACTCAATGTGTTACAAGAAAACTCAGAAACACAGTCCAATGAAATCAGGAATAAAATTAATGAACAAAGAGAATTCTTCACAAAAGAGGTTGAAAAACCATAAGAAATGCTAGAGAGGAAAAACACAATGAACAAGATACAGAAAAATCTGCAGTGCTTAAACAGAGCTGATATTATGGAGGACAGGATTAACAGCCTGGAGGACACAAAAATAGAAATGCTCCAGGTGGAGGAGGAGAGACGATTAAGACTAAAAAGAAATGAAGAAATTCTCTGAGAAATATCTAACTCAATCAGTAAATGCAACATATGCATTATAGTTATTCCAGAGGGAGAAGAGAGTAAGAAAGGAGCAGAGAGCTTGTTCAAAGAAATAAGACAGGGGAACTTCCCAAACCTGGGGAAGGAGCTAGAATTACATGTAAATAAAGCTAATAGAATTCCTATTTACATCAATGTAAAAAGACCTTCTCCAAGGCATATATTAGTAAAATGGGCAAAAGTAAATGACAAAGGAAAAATATTAAGGGCAACAAGAAAGAAGAAAATAACCTACAAGAAACCCCTATCAGGTTTTCAGTGGATTTTTCAGCAGAAACCTTACAAGCTAGCAGAGAATGGAATGATATATTCAAAATTCTGAAAGACAAAAACTTTCAGCCAAGAATACTCTATCTAGTGAAAATATCCTTCAGATATGATGGAGAAATAAAAACTTTCCCAGACAAACAAAAGCTGAGGGAATCCATCATAAGACTCCTCCTGCAAGAAATGATCAAGAAGGCCCTCACACCTGAAAGAAAAAAGCGTTTACAAAGCCTTAAGCAAACAGGTAAATAGGCAGAAAAACTCAGAAAACTGCAACTTTCTATGAGAACAGGTCAGGAAACAATTACAACATAAAAGATAAGAGGAAGGAAAGCATCAAAAATAACTATAAACACTTCAATTTAGTCACAAACTCACAACAAAAAACAGAATAACTTATCACAACAATAACTCAGAAGAGGAAGAGGAAAGGGATGGAACCTGCTTAGGCCAATGGAGATCAGAGGCTATCAGGAAAATGGACTATATCATCTACGAGATCTTTTATACAAGCCTCAAAGTAATCACTAAACAAAAAATCAGAGCAGAGCCACAATTCATAAATAAAGAGAAAACTCAGATAAACATCACAAAAAACAACCACCAAACTGAAATGGCACTCATAAATACAAGGGAAGAGAAACAATGGAAATACAGAACAACCAGAAAACAAGAAATAAAGTGGCAGTATTAAACCCTCAAATATTAATAATCACTTTAAATGTAAATGGATTGAATTCTCCAATCAAAAGACACAGAGTGGTGGGACGGGGTTTCAAACTTTCTTTTTCTTTTTGGTGAAGAAGACTGGCCCTGAGCTTAACATCTGATGCCAATATTGCTTTTTTTTCCTCCCCAAAGCCCCAGTACACAGCTGTATATCCTAGTTGTAGGTCATTGTAGTTCTTCTATGTGGGATGCCTCCACAGCACAGCTTGATGAGTGGTGTGTAGATATGTGCCCAGGATCCTAACTTGTGAACCCCAGGCTGCTGAAGTAGAGTGCTCAAACTTAACCACTCGGCATGGGGCCAGCACCTACAAGATCTTTTATAAAAACCTCACAATAACCACTAAACAAAAAATCAGAACAAACACATAAATGATAAATAAGGAGAAAACTGAGAAAACCATCATAGAGAGGAACCAAACCGAATTAGCAGTCCAAAATACACAGGATGAGAAACAAGGGAAATACAGAAACCAGAAAATGAGTGATAAAATGGGAGCATTAAGCCCTCATACATCAATAATCACTCTAAATATAAATGGACTGAATTCAACAATCAAAAGACATAGAGTAGCTGGATGGATTCAAAAACAAGACCCAACAATATGCTGCCTCCAGAAAACACATCTCAGTTCTAAAGACAAACACAGGCTCAGAGTGAAAGGATGGAAGATGGTACTCCAAGCTAAACTCCAAGAAAAGAAAGCAGGTATTGACAAACTTATAGCAGACAAAGTAGACTTCAAGATAAAAAAGACAATGAGGGACAAAGAGGGGCACTATATAATGATGAAAGGGACACTCCATCAAGAGGACATAACACTTATAAATATATATGCACCCAACACAGGAACATCAAAACACATAAAGCAATTCTTAACTGACCTAAAAGGAGATATTAATGACACAATAACAGTACAGGATCTTAACACCCCGCTTACATCAATGGATAGATCATTTGGACAGAAAGTCAACAAGGAAATAATGGAATTAAGTGAGAAAGTAGACCAGATTGACTTAGTAAATATATATAGAACACTCCATCCAATAACAGGAGAATACACATTCTTCTGAAGTGCACGCGGAACATTCTCAAAGATAGATCATATGTTGGGAAACAAAGCAAGCCTCAATAAATTTAAGAACATTGAAACCATATCAAGCATCTTTCCCAACCACAATGCTACAAAACTGGAAATCAACTACAAGAAACAAGCTGGGAAACAGACAAATGTGTGGAGACTAAACAACACACTACTCAACAATCATTGAATTAATGAAGAAGTCAAAGGAGAAACTAAAAAATACCTGGAGACAAATGAAAATAAAAATACAACATACCAATTCTCGTGGGATGCAGCAAAAGCAGTCCTAAGAGGGAAATTCATAGCAATACAGGCCCACCTTAACAAAGAATAATAATCTCAAATAAGTAATCTTAAACCAAATTTAACAGGAGCAGAAAAAGAACAACAAACAAAGCTCAAAGTCAGCAAAAGGAGCAAAATAATAAAAATTAGAGCAGACAAAAAACAAATAAAGGGACCGGCCCTGTGGCCGAGTGGTTAAGTTTGCACGCTCCGCTTCAGTGGCCAAGGGTCTCACTGGTTCGGATCCTGGCGCAGATACGGCACTGCTCATCAGGCCATGCTGAGGCAGCGTCCCACATGCCACAACTAGAAGGACCCACAACTAAAATATACAACTATGTACTGGGGGGGGGGGCGCGGTTTGGGGAGAAGAAGAAGAAAAAGAAATAAAAGAAGATTGGCAACAGTTGTTAGCTCAGGTGCCAATCTTAAAAAAAAAGAAAGAAATGAAATAGAAACCAAAAACGACAGTAGAAAGAATCAATGAAACTAAGAGCTGGTTCTTTGAGAAGATACAGTTGGCAAACCCTTAGCCAGACTTACTAAGAAAAAAGGAGAGAAGCCTCAAATAAATAAAATTAGAAACAAAAGAGGAGAAATTACAACAGATGTCACAGAAATACAAAAGATTATAAGAGAATACTATGAAAAACTAAATGCCAACACACTAGACAATCTAGAAGAAATGGGTAAATTCTTAGACCCATACAAACTCCCAAAACTGAATCAAGAAGAAATAGAGAATCTGAATAGACGAATCACAAGTAAAGAGATTGAAACAGTAACCAAAAATCTCCCCCCAAATAAAAGTCTTGGACCAGCTGGCTTCTCTGGAGAATTCTATCAAACATTCAAAGAAGATTTAATACCTATCCTTCTGAAACTATACCAGAAAATTGAGGAAGATGGTACAATTCCCAATACATTCTACAAGGCCAACATCACCCTGATCCCAAAGCCAGACAAGGACAACACAAAGAAGGAAAACTACAGGCCAATATCGCTGATGAACATTGCTGCAAAAGTCCTAAACAAAATATTTGCAAACCAAATACAGCAATACATTAAAAAGATCATACAACATGATCAAGTGGGATTTATACCAGAGACAGAGATGGTTCAACATCTGCAAGTCAATCAATGTGATACACCAAATTAACAAAATGAGGAACAAAAACTTCAGAATCATCTCAATAGATGCAGAGAAAGCATTTGATGAGATCCAACGTCCATTTATGATACGAACACTCAATAAAATGGGTATAGAAGG